CACGGCATATAACCACCACCACCTCCCTAAACAAAGCAAAACAAAACAAAACAAAAAAATAGCAAAACAGTTGTCATCTTGATTCTGACTCATGGCAAGTCTGTGTGTGTCAGCATCGAACTGTGCTCTATAGGACTTTTAATAGGTGATTTTCTTCAGTAGATCACCAGGCCTTTTTCTTGCGGCAACTCTAGGAGGATTTGAACGACTGGGCTTTTGGTTAGCAGCTGAGCACATTAGCTCCCATGGTTCCCATGGTCACCAGACATTGCCTGATCATGACATCCACCCCCTGCCCTATTTGCATCCTTCGATTCACATGCATTGCACTCTTCTGAGTGTATGGAACTCCCATACTTTCTGTCTCTTTTGCTGTTTCTCCCTTCTCTTCACAGTATGGGTGCCTAAGACCTGTCCTCAGCATTTGTACTTTTCACATTCTTCATTCTTTCTCTTGGACTGCTCACTATCTCCTATACTCAGGACTGCAGCTGTCTCCTCTAATAGGTGATTCCTTAGGTCTGCATCTTCACATTTTCTCTGAGTTTCAGTCATGCTCTTTGCTGGAGATGTTTATCTGAAATATCATTATCTCAAACATTATCCATGTAGAACTACTGTTCATTTATAGCCTCTTCTCCAGTTAACTTCCTTTTTATAGCTTCAAATGAATCATGAGACCAAGATGTATTTCAGCTCTGCCACCATCTAGCTGTGTAACTTTAGGCAAGCTCTTCTGCTCTCTTGGCCTCAGTTTCCCTATTTATAAAATGTAAATGATTTCTGAGTCTGTAAATACAGATCTACTTTTTATCAGCTTGTTGACCTGAACTTTCTCTAAATCTCAGGGTCTTCATTTTAAAACAGTATTTAACTCATAGGGTTGATTTGCGTTAGGTAATCTCTACAAAGGCTTAGCAGTGTCTCTATGTGTGATGTTTTATGCTGTAGTTATGTTCTTTCTGTTACCCATACTTGATATCTTAAAACTGGTCCTGATTTCTTCTTCTTTCCTCTATGTAGGTAATGACCAATTCTTGTCAATCATTTCTAAATAATATCTTAATAGCAGTTTTCATCATTGAATAGCTACTTTGGACAAAGTATATGTTGGGCATGTTATTTATGTTTAGATGTTGTTTGTCATCCTTACCATCACCTACAATGGAAATGTTAATGTTTCTGTCCAAGAAAAACTTCAGAGAGTTAGATGATTTTCTCAAAGGCACATGGCTAATAAGTAGCATAGCTGGTGTTCTAACTATTCCTGACTTACTTTAAAGCCAGTTCTGTATGTACTGTGCTGGTCTTTCTCATTCATCCCTTCTTTCCTGTTCCCACTGCTGTCAGTATAAATGAGTCTCTCATTCCTATGCCTAATGGTCTCCGGATCCAGTATCTCCCCTTCCATTTCATCCCATACATCACTACTGGGGCCACTCTCCACCTCACTCCTAGGAGACCCCTAACCACTCTCCAGCATCTCCTGAATGGCCTCTGGTATTTAAGGCTTTCCTCTCCAGCCTCATTTCTTTTACTTCCATTGAAGAGTAGTTTTCATTTTCCTTCAATGAGTCCCAGTGTGGCACTGTAGAATACACTGGATTGCTAAGCACAAGGTCAGTGGTTCAATCTCGCAACTGACCTGATGACACTTAACAACAGCAACAACTCCAGTCTCATTTCTTATGCTTTAGCTTAACAGCTGTTTTCATTTTCCTCCGACATACCATGTAGGTTTTCTTAAGTTTATTTTTTTTAAAGCATGTTTTCTCTAAATGGAAAGTGATGTCCAGATTAATTCTCACCAGTGAAATAAAAACTCTTCTAACTGGCTAAGCATATTATTATTATTGTTATTATTTTAGCAAACACAGCCAGTTGGTAGGTCTTTACACAGATTCATTATTTGGATAATATACCCTGTGTAGGGGGACTCATGGGAAAATCCATGACAGATAGCATTATAAGCTACCGAGGTTCTTGGGTGCAGGAATAACAACTCTGTAGGACCAAACTAAAGAACCAATGCTGTCAAACCAATTTTGATTTATGGCAACTTGTGTTACTGAACAGAGTTCTGTACAGGTTAGAATGGGCAATCCCTGGATTACAAATGAGTTCTGTTCCAAAGTCTGTCTTTAAGTAGAATTTGTCTGCAAATTTGTCAGTCAGATGTTTGTCTTAGCATATAGTGTGCCTTTCTATGCATAAAAAATTTTTAAAACACATTTCTAGATACACTAAAATATCTTTAACATAATAATTTAGTAATAATAACCAAAATGCTTCGATGCAAGCTGCAAAGTAGCATCCGTTTGTTATTACAAACCATTATGTTGTTATTAAGTGCTGTCCATTTGGGTTCCCACTCATAGCAACCCAGCATTGGATTTCTGAGAAGTGCCTGATGACTTTGACCAGCCGACCTTGCAGTGCAAACCAACCTTATGGTCAAATGCTTATCCTACAGCGCCACACCAGGACTCCAGAAATCATTATATGTATCTCGAAATATTCCCCCCCCCCCAATTTTAATAAAATAGGCTTTACAAGGTTTAGTTTGTGACTATGTACTATACATAAGTAGGATGTTCATAATCCAGGCACTGCCTGCATAAATTAAGTACTGTCAGTCAAATTAAAGTAAGTACAAATTAAGTACCAGTCAATCTCTTTTCATACTTGGCATCCCTTCTTGGTGCCCGGGAGCTTAGCAGTTATTTGAATCCTTTATATCTTCTGGTGTCTCTGTTGCTTTCCAAGGCATTGATATTTACTATGATAATTTGTGGTGGTAGAATGTGGAGTTCAAGGATGTCAATTGCAGCATTATTCAAAACAGTGGGAAATTGAAAACACCAAATGCCAGCTTTAAGAAAATGGGTGAATCTGTTATAAACATTATGCAGCCATTAAAACCATCTTGGAAAGGCATTTCAAATGCTTGGGGAATGCTTTTGATATATTTAAGAGCAGCAACAACAAAATACTAGAAATCAACAGTAGCAATGACTACAAAAAACAAGGTAGAAATCACTTGTCGTCATTAAGATCTAAAATATATACAAGAAAACATGTGGAGAAAGAAACTTCAATCGAAAGATTTATTCGTTTTTGTGTTTTCTTTTTTTCCTTGCTGCAATCCACTTGGTAAGTTTTCTGTAATGAGAATATAACTTCTCATCAGACAAAATGATGTAATGACTTACAGCTAATAAGGATGCAGGCTAATTCTCTATACCAGAAACCCCCAATACCACCCCCAGTTTAAAGATTCCTTGGGAATCCATACGATAAGCATTGGACTGTGAACCACAAGGTCCATCTGCAGTTTGAGCCTGCCGGCTGCTCCATGAGAGAAGGATGAGGCTTTCTGCTCCCAAAAGTTTTAAAGCCCATACAGGGTCGATATATGTCAGAACTGACTCGACAGCACTTAACAACAAAAGAGGACTTCTAGGATCCAGCATATTATGACTGTGTTATTACAATGAAAGGTTACAAAGCAAAATCAGCCAAGGGAAAAGAGATGTGGCAAGCTTCCAAGAACCCTTTCCCAGTGAGTCACATCGGATGCGCCTTATTCCTCTGGCAGTGATTTGTGACAGTATGTGTGAAATGCTGTCACCTAGAGAAGCTCATTAGAGACTCAGTGCCCAGGGTTTTTATAGGAGCTGGTAATAGAAGCAGACTCTGTGCAACATGTACCAGCATTGCAGACTCCCAGAAGGAAAGAAGGTGGTCAGCATAAACCGCTTAGTTTATACAAAGAGCCTAAAGCAAAGTGAGTCATGCTACCAAGGAATGGTGGGAACCCTTTGGAAATCCTAGTTCCCTGACACCAGGTAATGCTTGCAAACAGAGCTTTCTAAGGCTAGAGGTCCCAGGTCTGCTAGAGGAACTCTCCTCTGTGTATGCCCTTGCCCCGGATGCCTCAAGTTGCAGATTTCCTCATGGAATCAGTACTAACATTCTTTTCTCCTTTTCACCTGTCCTCCCCTCATAAACACTAAATTTATTCTTATATGACCGTTTGAAAGTCCAGTAAAAGAGGCTGATTGCTATTATGGTTGGAGCATGGGATTTAGGAGAAAAGTCTGTGGCCGCGGGAGCACGTGGTTCTGCCTGCCCACGCCTTTCTCAGGGCCAGTGAGGTGCCCCGAGTGGCCCAGCTGGTGAGCCTGGTAGGGAGCCAGGGAAGCAATCTTTGTACCACTGGTGCCAGCTTCTAGCTCCCGGCTCCTGACTGTATATTTTCCCCCTTAGGTCTCTAACTGCTTAAAAATCAATTAGCTGACAGTCATTAGAACATAAGCAGCAACACAGAGGTCATTGTCCCAAGAATGTAATTCCTGTACTCCCTGGGGCTCTGAGTCTCTTTGCTTTCCCTTCTGTAAACAGAGTGTGTAAACATTCTTCTCTTATGGGACACACTCCAGAGGAATGATGTCACACCCAGCCCCATCTCCTGGGGAGGTTGAAAGCTCACCCTCCTAGTTTTGTTCAACGTTGCCGCTTCCTTGTCATAGTTTTTTGATAGTGCAGAACTGGAGGGTAATGCAATGAAGTGACTTGCTTCCCATGTCAGTCTGCCATCATCCACTGAACATTGAAACACCTGTTTCAATACCAGATATGTTTCTATCTTCAGGTTCAGTTTAACAAGGAAGTTCATGTTCTTCTCACTCCTCCTACCATCTCCTAGCCTATTTGTATTGGAATATAAGATTATTTAAAGTATAAACCAAATGAACAGTTTTTGTTTTGGTGGAGGCAAACCCCTGTCTTGCTCAGTTTTCCTGAGATGAGAAAACTAATCTGTTTATATTTGTTTACGGCGTCCAAGATGTATTCCCAATGTATAGTTGCTCTCTCTCTCTCTTTTTTTTTTTTTTTCTTTTTTGAAAATGTGGCAATCAGTGGTTATGTGAGTTTATGTCTCATGTTTACTTTATGTTTGTTTACTTTAGTTTTTTTTTCCACTACTCCTTCTTTAGCAAATTACATCGATGAAGATGAAAATGAAATGCTTGAATTAACATCAAACAAAACTTTTTTCATCATGCTAAAGATTCCAGAGGAGTGTATTACTGAAGAGGAACTGCCAGTTCAGCTCACTAAAAGGGTAATTATGCATATGCATTGTTTATTGAGCTCTTGACATCAGAGTATATACATTAGTAAAATAGTTAGCCTAGAATTATATAGTGAATAGCTTAAATCCAGAACTCTTTGTCTGGCTTTCAGCAGAAACTGACACTTAGATATGCCTGAGTCTTGTTCAAACCTTGAGGAAAGAGCCCTGGCTTCAGCTAAATGCATTTTAGTGAATAGTGTTCTGTTAAATCACTTTGGTTTTATATTCACTTTGTGGTTCACTAAGGGTCTTGATGTGATAGACAATAACCCTAGAACAAGGGACACATAATCTGTTTACCCAGTGGTCTCACAGTCCAGGTATGTTGTTAAGTCAATTATAATGCACAGTGATTCTGTATAGGGTTTCTGAAGAGTGGCTGGTGGGTTTGAACCACTCACCTTGTGGTTAGCAGTCCAGTGCTTATCCTACAGTGTCACACCAGGACTCGAGTCCAAGTATTTATTGTTGTTAAGTGCCATCGAGTTGATCCCGACCCAAAACGACCCTGTTTAGGGTTTCCAAGGAGCAGCTGGTAAGCTTGAACCACTGACGTTACAGTTCAAATGACTTTGCAGTCTGGCACATTAACCCACAGCGCCACACCATAGGAAACCATTAAAAAGCTAAACAAAAAAGTGTGACATATATACAGTGTGTGGTTTCTAAGTACAAAGGAGAAGCGTTGGAACAACCTGAGATGGGAATGGACTCTTGGAGACGCTCCTGGAAGAGATGATACTCATGAGTCTTGAAAGATGAGAATGGAATGTTGTAGATAAAAAGGCAAGAAACATTAGGGTATGGTTGGGACTTGGAGAAGTAAGACAGAAAGATTTAATCAAGGGGTTGACATGGCTAAATGTTCATTTTAGCTGGTAGAGCAAGACTAATGGCAGAGAGCATAATTAGAAGGCTATTGCAAGAGTCAAGGTAAGAGATGAGGACTTGAACTAGGGCAATGTCAGAGGGATAAGGAAATTCAAGAGAGATTTAGGAGGTACTTTCCACTCCAAGGGAGTTAATGACTGATTGGATGTTTGAGGGTGAGGGAGAACATGACTCTAGACTTCTGATTGGGTCATTGATGGTTCATTCATGAGATGCGGAACGTGTACTGTTTAGGCTCTGCAGTTAGGGTACAAGGGTCATTATGGGGTGGTCCTGGTCATCCTGCCAAAAAAAACTGGTTTGCAGCCCGACTCAGAAATATATTTTATAAGGAAATTGGAGCAAGACCAACCTGCCTTCCACTTGACTCTTCTCTGAATTTGTGGGTTGAATGCATTATTATTTGGCTTCCACTTGGTTCCTTTTGAGTCCTGGGTGGTACAAATGGTTAAGTGTTGGGTTAGGTTAGAATCTGAACCCACCCAGAAGCACCTGGCAATCTGTTTCTCAAAGATTATAACCTAAAAAAACTCTACAGAGAGCAGTTCTCCTCTGCACACATTATTATAGTTGGAATCCACTGTTAGAATCCTCATTAGTTGGAATCCACTCAAAGGCCACTGATACGGCTCTATCTACCTGTCTGTCTGTCTGTCTATTTATGTATTTTTGTTTGTTTCCCTTGTCTGGCTAGGTCAGCCCAGAGTTAGTTTTTGAGTACCCAAAGGAACAATGTCTGATCACTGCTTTTATACTAGGTGTTTGTCCAGCTTCTCAGATTATTTACTCAGCATACAGGTTGAATAAGTATGGTGAAAGAATACAACCCTGTCACACACCTTTCTTAATTTTAAATGATTCATTGTTCCCGTGTTCTGTTCGAACAACTGCCTCTTGGTCCA